CTCATTAGCACTTACCAACAACAGCGTGTAGGAACGTTTAAAATTTGTCTGAAAACCAAAATGAAGACACATTGTTAATGACTGCAAATTCCAGACACCATGTCTTCCTGAAAGCCTGTGCTCAGGGGGGAACGTTCTAGGGTCTGCCAGGACCATCCTGGGCTCCAGCTGGAAGAGAGAAGAGGTTTGCTAGAAAGGGCCTTACAAGGAGGACCTCAATTCCTGGTCTGTCCATCAGCCAGTTGTACCAGCTATGTGATATATGTGTATGCTGTGTTTCTTTCTCTATACAGTGTGGTACTTGACCTGCCCAACACTAAGTTAGTCTAGATAAAAAGCTCAATAGGCCATTTCTTTCTAAAACCCTAAAGAAACTTCACAGGATGCAAATTGCATCATGTTTTATTGCACATCACTACTTCTGCATAATCTGCAAAGCTTGTCTATTTACATTCTGAGAAGGATTCTGTGAAATCTCCCCCATATTCCAAGTTAGTATCATGCCATTGTTCCTCTTCACCCGCTTTTTCCTTTTAAACTGCAAATTGCTTCTGTAGAAACACCCTAAATGGCCTTTCAAGGACCGCCAGAGTGTGAAATTATTGTAGCTTGGCATGTGGCTTAGGAGCCCTGAGGGTGTGGTAAGTTAAGCATTGGGCTAATGATGGCAAGGTCAGTGGTTCAAACCCCCCAGGTATTCTGGGGGGGAAAGATGCAGCTGTCTGCTCCTATAAATACAGTCTGAGAAGCCCTACGAAGAAGTTCTCCTTTCTACAGGGCTGCTATGGGTTGGAATTGGCTTGATGGTCTAGGTTTGGGTTTGGGTGTTTTTAGAGTAAAGGGTGAAGGTGAGCTAGTCACCACTCACTTCTTCAGAAGAGCCTGCTGGTTACCACCCTGTTTGCATCTCCGCCGCCCTTGCTGGCTTCTCCTTGCTCAGTACCAACTATTTTGAGGAGGTTCTCCCTTCGTCACTTCACCCCTCAGTGGCTCTGGGAAGCTGGCATTCGCCACTTCCTTTTTGTTGTTGTTTTTTGTCATCGAGTCAGCTCAGACACAGAACAATCTCATGTGTCACAGAAGGAAACGTGCAATCCTGTGCCTTCTTCATGGCAGTTGGTGGGTTGAGTCCACTGCTGTGGACAATGTGTCAGTCCATCTTATGAAGGGTTTCCCACATTTTCACTGACCCTCTACGTTACTAAATACAACGCCCTTTACTAGTGCTTGGTCTTTATAGTTGATGTGTTCAAACTAACAAGTTAAAAGTCTCACCATCCTCATTGTTTTTAAAAAAGGCATTCTGTCTGTATGTCTTCTAAGACTGATTTAGTTCATAGCATATTCAATATTCTGCGCCAACATTACAGGTCGGACATATTACCAAAATTGCTCAGAACTCAAGCTTAAAACCAAATCAAACTCAAAATGTGTACCACTTCAGAGATCCTTGGCAATGCCCCTCACACAGGCTATTTCACAGGTAACATTTTTTAAGCAGCTACAACATAAAGCTACCTAAACAACTCTCCCGTGGACTTGGAAACCTAGCGCTTCACTTAGGACAAGCTTTGTGAATCAAGAGAAGAAAGCCCTTGTTAGGATAAGCACAGTCAGGTTGAAAAGCAAGTGGGTAGCAGGTCCAAGGATCTGAGAGGTTGAAGTACACTGAGGCTACCAGGTGACCTTGACAACTGGCCTGGGAATCTTTGTATATAAAGTTTCATGACCAGTGGGATGGTGCTGTGGGGTAAACACTGAACCGCCGCAAGGTCAGTGGTTCAAACTCACTGACCACTCCTGGGAAACCCTATACGGAATTGCTGTGAGTTGGAACCAACTCCATGACACTTAACAACAAAAGCATTTACTGAAGCAGCTGTTAGCTTTCCCCAGCTACTCTAAAGACAGAGCTTTCATGTCCCATGAAGCCCCGCAGTCATCGGGTATGTGGTGAGCTAACAAGGAGACTGTTGGGCATGGTGGGTTTTTTCTCTTCCCCGTGAGAATTCTTTCAAGTTGGGGAGGAAAAGGGTACTAGGAGGATTAAGTGCAAGACCACCCATATAAGTCTTTAAGGTCCTCTGTGTAGGTCTTTAAGATCTTCTATGTAGGTCTTTAAGATCTTCTTGTTTGATTCTGGTCTATTTGTTATTTGTAATATGAACAATGATGATGATCATCATCAACAATTTGGGTACTGATTTGTATCTTGCCTTACTAAAAACCATCTTAACACAATCCTATTCGGAATTCTGTCACTTTGCATAATTTGATGGTTAACCCTGCTTTTCCCTCCACAGAACATTGATATCACCAATTTCAGCAGCAGCTGGAGTGATGGTTTGGCCTTCTGTGCACTCCTCCATACCTACCTACCTGCTCACATCCCGTACCAGGAGCTGAATAGTCAGGAGAAAGTAAGTCACCTGTCCAATCATATTTGGTTATCCTGATTACATCAGTACATTCTAATGTGGGTAGAATTTATAGACCTGAAGTAGAAATTAAGTTAATGGGAAAATCCCAATGTCTTTGATTCCTTTTTAACATGAA